GGGGAGATCAGTATGGATGCCGAGAGCCATGTGGTGTGCTTCGAGCATTACCCCATCAAAGAATGGGAACACAATGTCAATTACTACCGCTTCTTTGCTGGCTTCCTTTTCCCCTTCTTTCTGCTGGCCTTCTCCTACTGTGGGATTTTACGAGTTGTCCACAAGAGTCACGGCACTCAAAAGAAGAAGAAAATCCAAATTAAACGACTGGTTTCAAGCACTGTTGTCATTTTTTTAGTTTGCTTTGGACCATACCACATCCTACTTGTAGTTCGCAGCTTGTTGGAGAACAACTGCTCATTTGCTGAGAAAATATTTAATATTTACCACGTTTCTCTCCTGTTGACTACTTTTAACTGTGTTGCTGATCCAGTATTGTATTGTTTTTCCAGTGAAAGCACTTACCAGAACTTTGCCAAGATGCGAGACTCTTGTTTAATGTGTTTAGGGTGTCTGAGGACTGAAATGAAGGAATCTTATCCACTGAACCCCCCAGAAACTCCCAACAGGCAACAGCCAGGGTTATTACAAACATCCCATGATGGCACTGGAATGAAGGACTGCTCCACAACTAACATGGGCAGCCTATAGCATTCATCAGTAAAGGACATTAATCTAAAATCTGCAGAGAGAGAGATATATATAAAATATGCAGTTTGTGTATCCATCCAATTTATCCACGTATTAAAACAGTGTTACCACCCCAAGGCTTATTAGTATTGCAGTACAGTGAAGTTGTTTCTGGAGGTGCTTGGACCTTGGCAATAGTGAGGAAAGCACATGCTAAATCAATTCAGTTACAATGACGTCTGTTGTCACTGTTGTACCACTGAAAACCTGTTGTCAGGTTGATGACTGCATTGACTGAAATAAGCTAGTATGCATGGTGTGTGGTTCAGTTGAATTCATCTTTAATGGCTTTCTGTTTGCTCCTGTAGCATCTAGAGAAAATAATTCTCTACAAGCTGTCATCATCTGTTGAAAAGGTTGGAGACAGAGTAAATTAAATGTCACCGTATGTACTTTTTAAAAGAAAAAAAAATTGCATTTTTGTAACATTCCTGTAACTCTCTGAAAAAACTTCCCTTCAGCCAGTTTCAAGGCCTGCAGAGACCGTGCCAGAACCAACCTCCTAAAACCACCCATCCAATAATGTGAGATGTTCTGGGAAAACATGCACAAGGAACTCAGCATCTGCTGAGACCTTCAGTCTGTTGATTGACTGTTGAAGCTCAGACTGTTGAACCTCATCATAAGGCTCCTATTGACTTCAGAGGTATGAGATCTCTTGGCTCCGATGTGGATAAATAATTTGGTCTGTTGACTTGGAAAAGAACAGGAGGTTGGTAGTACGTGAGGTGCTTTGAACCCATGCGCTTCTCTGAGTCACTGTGTTCAAAGACAAATTTAGTTACATCTGAATTCTACTAAACTTTGCCAAGGTTTGGATTGCGTCCTTTGAAATTTGTGTGTCTTGTGCAGCATAGACCATGCAGGCAATTAAATAACAATGCATTTGTCAGGGAAACTGTTAAATGGATTCTGTTTAAACTCTATTTTCTCCCACAGATTCTCTCTCCCACTGTGGCTTAGGGTTTGGTCCTTGTTCAGTATATACAATATCAGAAATATTATGTATGAATGCTCTGTGTTTCCTGGTTTCGAAACAAAATACAGGAATAAGTGGAGATAATGGCAGTTAAAGACATGGGAGTCGTGCTTTATACTGTTGTTTCTACCACTATTTCCTCTCTATTTTTTCTTCTTCTTTATTGTACTACTGAACCCTGTATAATTTTTCTTTGTGATCTGCTCATCATACCTTCTTGTATCTGTAACAGTTACACCATGAATATTGCCTTGTCCTTTCACTTCTATGGTTTCAATCCTTTCTTGAAACACCTCTCTCTCTGCAACATGGAGCTGATAACTTGCAGTAGTATAATCAGTTTTGATTTCTTTAAATGTCAGAAGATTCTCTAGACAGACGGTCTACTCCTGGTATCTGAAGTATGTCATTAACACAGCCTTGCTTGTCAGCAGTTTTTAAAAGGCAATATACTCTAACAGTGTTCTGGAAACCACCGTGAGAGTGCAATATTAGAAATAATTAGGGGATGTGTTTAATAAAGAATGTTTTTATTATTTTCTTCCTATATTTGTTCACTCTGTGTTCAAAATGCCTATCTTATGGCTTTGGCCCACAGATTCTATCTGTGAGACGACAGATCCTCTCCTCCCTCTTCCTGCAGAAAGGATTCATGTCCCCGCTCCCAGGAGGGGATTAGGCTTGCTTAGGTTAACATTTGGTTTGTTTAATTATTTCACATTTCTTTATACTTAGACCACTCACCAAACTGGATTAATTGCCTTATACATGAATTTTTTTCTTCTGACTATTAGTGCTATTTAATTTTGCTTTCTCCTAATCTTTCCTCTAATCTCCTGTCTGTTATCAATGGGGTCATAAAATGGGGACTCCTCACTGCCATAATGTCAAGCTTGTGTGTTGTTAAGCACTGAGCCAACTACTTGGACTCCCACGACGTGGCAAGGGTGCAAGACACACATGTGGCGTGTTCTAGGATGAAGTATTTGTTGTCCTGTTTATGCTTTACTTCTCTACAGTTACCCATGTTGTTTAAAGTAGACAGCTGGAAGGTAGAGCATGCCATATTACATCGGATCGTCATCTGAGGGATTAAAGCTTGTTTGAGTTGGTACTTTGATGTGGTCGGCTTTTGGTCAGCTGCTGCAGTTTAAAATCAGATGGAAGCTTATGTAACAGAGTCCAGCATTCTGCTACAGTTCTCGACATTTAACCTGCTAACCCATAAGAGAAGAGGGGTGTCCTTTTTTTTTTTTTCCCCCTGAAGTCAATATTTTATCAATTCTTTCTATATTGTAGCTGTTAGGCTCAGGCTGCAGAACTGTAACCAATATGGGAGGAAGGTAACTCTCAGCTTTTCTCTCCATCTCAGCCAGAACATAGTCAGTCAAGGGTCCTACTATGGTTGCTGGAGATATGCTACACATTGCTACTGGATTAAATGCAGCACTTGGGACTGCACAGGAGAAGGGATTTTAAAAACATACATTAGAGAAAAAGACAAATTATTACATTTTAGACTTCTTAATGAAATCTGACTGCTAAAACTTGTATTGTGGGGAAAAAAGACCAAAAGCTTACAAAGTGAAGGTTTTTTGAGAAAAGTTAGTGTTTGGAAAGAATAATATATATTGCACCCATTAGTGTAATATGTCAGTAAGCTACTGAGCACGTAGCACACAGAGAAGGAAATCAGCTGCCTCCTTTCTCAAACAGACATTTTAAAATTATGCCAATTTTGTTTTGTGGGTTCTGTGCAGCAGTGAACATATGCCATCCTGCGGGGTTACTGGCTTTGGCAAAAAGCTCAAGCATTCGTATCAAATATTTTACTTCAGTTACAGTTTGGATAATTTGGAGACTTCTAAAGGAGTTATTTTCTAATTGTGAAACTTCAAAGACAGTTTCACTGCAATATCCTTCATGAAGGCTTCAAATAAAATGAATCTTTAAAAATGACTGATCCATAAAATAAACATTGGAAGCTTTGGTGAATCTATCACCAAGTCTGGCATTAAGATTTCTTTCTCTTACATGAGGTGTTCAATTCTTTTCAATCTTTAAAGGCTGTGTATCCTCAAGGACTTCAGAAGACTAATGTTCTAAGTATGCTGGTGTTTGTGGTATGAACTGATTTTTCTCATTCTCTAAAAGTTATGTGTTTGTCTTTCTTACATAAGAGAATGAAAATAAAACTCACCTGCCAGAAAGAAAAGTAGAAGCAAGGTGTTGCTGGCTGCTAGAAGTCCACTGTCATTTGGAAAAAGCAGTGGTTAAACAGAACTGCCATTCTCATCCTGTTAAAGCGCAATGGTTTGATACTCGCCTTTTGTACCATTGTAATCATTTTATGACAGCTAAAATATCAGTGCCCGAGAGGTGCCCTGTCAAATATCCCCTGTTCTCTCTGATGCGAGGGTGGACAACTAGCAGAACTTCAGCAGTGACACTCAGCTGGAGTTAAAGTAAAATCACAGCTTTAGATGACGAAAGTCAGGCACTTGTCAGTACATTTGTCATGTACTGGTTCGGCGTCTCAGTACCGGTACTTGTCTCAGTACATTTGTCATCTACTGGTTTGGCGTTAGGAGACTTTTGAGATATAATTTAATTTTGTTTCACTTCGTCTCGTCAGGAGCTTCACTTCTTTCTGTAACTGGAATTCATCTAAATGTTCATTTACATAATTTTATTTCATGCTGAATGCAAATGGTTTTTAATTTCCAATCGTGCTTTGCTTTCTAAGCATTACTTTTTAATCTCTATTTAATTCATTTATTCTTAACAACAGCATACCCTGAAAAGTCTACAACCTTTCTGTATCACCCAGAAAGGGACAAAATATATAAATGGTAAACTACTAATACAGAGGCGGCAAATGGTGTAGCCTACCCTTTACACAGATGGTGGGCAACGTTGCCCTTGTTTTCCTTAGCTCGGTTACAGCTCTCTCCTTATCACCTCACACTTCCACAAACTATCCACCACCATAAGAAGACAGTGTTAGAGGCACTGCAGGAAGCGTGCGAGGGAGCTATATTAAACAACTTTCACTACTGTAACACTTACTGGGGTTTTTTGTTTTGAACCTCCCCTCTCCACTGCAGCTTTTTTCCCCCACCACAGGGTATTTTTAAATCCAAGTTGCTACAAGAGTTACTTCCTGTTGCAGTTATGAGGTTAGTAAAACAGGAACAGCAGTGCAGTAGTATTTCATTTTAATGACGAGCTTTCTTTGTACAAGCCGGATCACCTCTTACTATACAGCATCATTTAATATCCATCATAAAATTACAGAGAAGGAAGGCAGACCAAATCATCATCATGATATCCCCTTCTCTTCACAGAGGTGTTGTAAGGGTTGTGCATGGCCAAGACACTAGAGATGAAAAGTCATCTTTTTCCGATCTTTTATACCTTGTGAGAGGGTAGGGAATAAGGAAGTGACACAGGAGCAACTCTTGATATAGAAATCATTAGGGGCAGTCACTGCTGCACTTCTTGCAGCAGCTTTTCAATCATAAGTGAGTGGGTGTTGTAGAAGGGCAGCCCGTCCACTTCCATTTCTAGACTGGCAGTTTTTCCACTGCGGACCCCGTGCTGCACAAGTATTTTCAGAAGCTTTTCTTCCTTAAAAAAGAAAAGAAATAGAATATAATTAAAATCCTGAATCAGTCAAGAGCATTCATCAAGACCTTTATTTTAAGCCTAGAGGAGACTTTGACCACATCCTCCGTATTAACTTTGGGTAGTAACTTGCTAACGCCATTTTTAAATTACCCCAAGAATACCTGGAACTCAGTGGCTGACAAAAGGCTTGTGTTCTTGACTACTATTTAATTATTGAATGATATTCTTGTTCTCCACGCTCTCTGAAAAAAGATGTGGGTGACCGTTCAGAAGCACGCATCCTTTCTGCCTGGTTTCAAGTTCCTATATTGCACAAATCAAAATCAGAGGAACCTCCACCCGAAGTATCTCAAAAAATGACCTGTCGTTTCCCCAGCATAGCAGCTGGCTGCAGATGCATTTTTAAAGAAGAACAGAAGGGAAAGAAGATACATTGGGGGAAAAAGGTTACAAAGCACCTGAATGGGCTGCACAATCACCTTCCTGCATCTTCTGTGGTCTCTGCTTGCCTTTTACTCTCTATCCTCTTTTCCTATAGATTTTTATGAGAATTCTGGTTGCTTAGAGAAAAGATGAGGAAAAAGGAAAACTCTGAAGTTGTGCTTCCTTGGGATTCTCTGAAATAGCATATACTTTCCTTTGTTTAGAACAGAAACTCAATTTCATGTTTATAACCGTTATTTTCTTGCTTAACAGTAACCTAAGCAGATAACAAGGCATCTTGCAAGTTGAGCTGTTAAAGTACACGGGGGGAACAAAGTCCTCGGTTGTGAGCCATGGGCCAGTTAGCGTTGCGAGATGAAAAGATGGGATAAAATCAACTTTGAGAAACCCCTAGTTCTATGAATGGTGAAATTAGAAAACCCGGTTACAAATGGACATACGTCTAGCATAAACTGCTTTGCTCTTCATTTGATATGAACCATACACGGCAAAACTCTTCGTGCTGTTTTAGTATTACTATGAAAAGGATTCATTTCTCTAATTGTGTTAATAAAAATCTAAGCAAAATAAAAAGCCTAGTCACACCTTAGCTTCCCCTGGCCCTAACTCTGTGGTAATTCACATACAACCTTGAAACAGTCATAGACCTACCTTTTATTCCCTTTTTTTGGTGGGAATGCCTTTTCTGGTCTTCGGTCTACTGTTCTGTTTCCATTTGTGTGAGACCTTGCTTTGACGGAAATTGTTGCTGAAACAGCCCTACCACTATCCTTGAAAAGCAGTTCTATAAGTTGAAATACTTCTTGTTTGATATTCCTACACAAAAACCTCTCGCAAAGTCCTTTATCTCCTGGACACAAATTAATTATGAAAAAATGATACAATTAAAATGTCTAATATTCTTTTATTAAATGTTAGGGTTTTTTCTAGGAAGAAAACGAAACTGTAAAGAATACAATCGCTTTAGATCTGAATTTAGACACAATATGGTTGTGTTTTACATAATACAGTATATGGCCAAAATATAAACATTTCTGAAAGAATTAAAGCATACCTTGCATGGTCAATTAGAGATTTTAGTGCAGTTTGGTAACCTGCTTTCTGAATGCACTTTATAAAGATTTGTCTTGTACAATTTTCTGGTAATGCATCCTAGTTCTTAGCTGCAACAAAGTTAAATGAGGCACCGATTTTTTTAAAGAAAAAATATGCATAGTTACATGGTGTCAGTCTTGACATCTTAACAAACAGCAGCGGATACAGCTAATTAAGGAAATTATCTGGATACATCAGTAGCATAAAAAGTGCTACGTTGTAATTTATAAAATTATACATCATATGAATGATCGTACATAAGAAAACAAATATAAGCACCTTTCTTTCTGCATGTGAGAGGTTTTTCTTAGCATTGAGTATATGCAAAGTGGCAAATTAGATTTCTCGTGGCACAGAAGAGACACACAAATTAGATATGCAAAACGTCATTGCTTATGTGAATTGTATCACCTAGGTATTACCTGTCAGAGCACTCTGATCCGCTTACCCGGGGAAAAAAGGCTTCCTTGCTTAATACTATATAACTATGCCTGATAAACTGTACTTTATGATCAAATGTTGTTGGTTCCATTTGTAAGGAACATGCACAATGTACAGCGTGCTTCCGTAACTGTGAAGTGCTGCAATTTGCTCACGGTTCTCTCTTTGGTAAATAATTATGTTAGGAGTGGGGTAACCAGAAAAATAACCAAATTAATAGAAAAATAACTTGTTAATTTGCCCTTTATTCAGGGAAAAAAACCTCCCTTGTGAATGACAAAGCTAATAAAGAATACTAAAACAAATGTTACATCTTTATATATTGCTCATTTATAAAGTAATTAATATTCTTAGAGGTAATAATTTCAAAATAAACACTATATAGTTAATTTCTTACCAGAGTTCAGTAAAAGAACAACAACCTGACTATTAACCTGGTTGTGAGATGCAAAGAAACCCAGAGTTGACTGTAGGATGTTCAGCACTAGATGTGTTCAGATATGTATGAATTAATATATTTCCCTACAGTCACTTTGGTATGAAAGTACCACAAACATCTGAAAAATCAAACCAGTATTGTGTTAACCAGCATAATTATGATTCAACTCCATGACTGAAAGGTAAGTAAAGTTCATTTAGATCAAATGGTTTCTTGCTCATGAAGTTCTTGACAGAGAACAAATGCTTTGCAGTATCTCATGTGAAAATATATGTAAAGACTAATCCATGCACTTAGAACAATCCTGGTGCTCTGTTCAGTGGGCACAGAGAGCTCCACAGTTCTGTGGGTTGTTGCAGATTTGTTGAACGCTAATAATAAATAATGAAATAACCCTTGCGTTTCAGGGCAAGTCTTCATTCACTAGTTATGATCTATAGTTTTCATGGAAGGAATGACATTTTTGGCAGAAAAGTAAAACTCATTAAGAAAGCTGTTTGGTGCTTAGGCCCAGCTTCAAATGTCGTCTTTCCAATTACAAACAGACAAATATAAACACCGAGGCGGGTATGTGTGGTGATGCTCTTTATCTTACTAGAGTAATTATTATAGCATTAAAAGAAGCTAGATTGGGCAGAAAGTGCTCATATAAACATAAATGGTCTCTTTTTTTTTATATACTAATGGAGTACGTGAACATTAATGTGTTCAATCTTCTGTGCTGTTTACTGTTGCATGATTTATAATTAAAGATATCATATTCTTTTGTCAGACACTTTGTCATTTTCTCTCCTCCACAAAACTGTTTCCATTAATTTTTTCTCAATAGATTTTAGTATTGCACTTTCAATAGCCCATTATTGGATCATTATCAATATTCCCAGCTGTATAGCTTAGTAAAACAAAAACAAGAAAGATTTCCTGTATACAACATCACATTTAATTACAGTATCTCATTACCAGGAATTTTGATCATAGTAGCTTTTAGGATATGTTAATTCGAAGGGGAAAAACAGTAGATGTAACTGGAAAAAAAAAACACTGAAAAGTGAAAAAGAATTAATCTATTTTTGGAAAAGATTGCACTGAAAGGTGCCATATGCTTTGTTAAGTCAAAGGGTGAGCAGCTATGCAAAATGTTGGGATCAGTTTCAGTTTAGACCTTTAGATGAAAAATCAAAATAGCAAGAATTAAAAAAAAGTAAAACATACACTAAAATACTTAAGAGGTGCTTTGCTGCAATTTCATGCAGAACGTACTGTCACCTCGGGAGAAATACTCCACTCTCGTGGGCAACATCTATGGTAAATGGATTACATTTTGCTTAGCATTCCTGGAGGTCACAAACTTACTGGTTTTGCCTAAGTCTCCATAGAGGTAATCTGCCAATAAAACTGAAGATTGATGTTCCTAAGTTATTACAAATATGGTGGAAGAAACCTTACTTGATTGTTGAGAGTATGTATGTTTTGAGTTTTTTTTTTTTAACACTGCCAGGTTAAAAATAGAGCCATGTGCCTAGCAGGATAAGCAGTCATTTCTCACCCCGCTCAGTTATTTTACTTTTTCTCAGTCTGAAACCTTTGCATTCCCAGAATATCACACTGTTGAGAGCTGCATTAGTCAAAACACATTTAAAAATATTCATCTGCAAGTCCTTTTACAACTTTGATTTAGAAACATTCAAACTAACTATAGAAAGGTTCTAACATAACTAGAAAAGGTAGAAAGATCAGAACTATGGCGTGGCTTTTGTATTAGTACTGTGACTTTTGATTTTGGAAGGGAAACATCTAAAGGAGGGTACAACAGAGATTTGTAAAATCATGAACGATGCTAAAGAAGTGAACAGGGAATTTTAATCACCATATCACAATATAAGGATTTCTTGTACTGCCCATAAACTTGTAGCACTGTCTTGTGCTTGAAGTTGCAGCACACAGATACATTCATTTTTGAGGATTTTTATGTTCTATCTGTCTTGAATTCTTTGTGGAATATTCTAAGCACAGTGTGGCTGCTTGTTCACCAGGGATTCCCAAAAGACCATCTGAAAGTAAGCTGTTGACCTGGACTGGGCAGGATTTAGTGGCTGGTAGCCGATTCCATCTACATGTCACAAGCAAGTCACAACTTGTGGCCCTGCAGAAATTACCTTGGTAACTGACGGAAGTGCCGACAGCCAGACCATCTTCTTTGATAACTGTGGAAACCCAACAGCTTTCCTCAGATAACGGTCATGTATTTCACAAGTGCTGAGAATATACAGAGCGCAAGCAATGGCATAGCCTCCCCAGTTAGAGACCCCTGCAAAAGAATGTCACCGTGAAACCAAACTGTAAAAAAACCCCCCAAAACGGCTGTTGCAATGGTACCTAACCTGCATAAGTCATTGGGCACGTACAACTGAGTCTCACGTAGTGATGGTGAAATGGAACATGGATACGAATTAAATATTGACATGAATTTGGAACATCTCTTTCAGAACCACATAATTGCTTAACATATCAAAATGTTTTCAGTATTTCAGACTGAAATTTCTGCAAGTTTCCATCTAGCTTAGTTTGTGGTTTGTCTTTCCAACAGAGCAAAAACTCGAATGGGCACGGTCTATAACACAATTCCACTTGGCTTAATGTGGCGTCCATGAACTGCGAGGAGCTGTGTTACAGTCTGGTGCCTTTTGCTTTTAACCACACAGTGGTAAGAGATTTTGATAAAGTGTCCTAAACCAGGTGTCAGATTTTATAACGGAATGCTGTACCATTGCAGAGAGTCTCTTTTTGGTCTCAGATGGTGATTGATTAAAGAGTTCAGCTATTTTGTAATATATGAAGCTGTGATGAAACTAATTGCCTTGTGTCTTGATGATGTGTCCTTGATGCAAGCATCATATACAAAAAGGCAGTCTAAGACAGTTAATATCCATAGATTTTCTGTATGCTGTTATCAAATCAGTCCACACAGTCTTGTGTGACAGCTGCTTTGTCAAGACTGTATTTGAGATCTTTAGATTTGAAACTTGCTGTGAGAAGTTGTCTCTGATGCCTGATACCTTTTCCAGAGATGCAGAATAGCAAAATTTTCAAGAAGCGTGGAAGTTGTTTTAGCACATGTTTTGCACACTTAAACATGTCCAAACCTCTGCCTCACTTCCCTTTGCAGGGTCTGGGTGTGACAGTTGTTTTTGAAGTAAAAATCATCAGAATTGCCAAAACAGCGACCATAGATTCTACACACATAGAGCCATAAGAAGTAGATGTAATTATCACCACACTCTCATTTCTCCCTCAAAATTGCTGGTTTACTATCAAGAATGTTAGATACCTAGGCTAGAAACCTGAGCCTAAGTACAATATGGACCATTCGGTTCATAAATTGGTCCTTGCTGAACTTGTCTCTCTCACTGCAAATTCTGTTTCGTGCTGGTTAAGACGTTAGAGTAGAAGAGAATTTCAACTATAGCATTCAACTTTTGTTGTACATTAAGAATGTACATCTGTCCTCAAGTGGCTCTTGAAAGGACTTATCATCTCTTCATGTAAAAGCAATATGACTGATGACCCTGACAGGGTCACACATACAGAAGCTCATCAATTATACTGAAAATTTGTATGTGCATAGACATTTTAATTCTCACACATATCACTTTCGCAGTTGTCTCTGTTATTTTATTTACGGTGTGATTTTTCAAGAATATTCAGGACTTGCCCAATTACTCCAATTAAATGCACTTTCTCCTCGCAGAACCACTTTCTTCTCCCCAATTTTCAGACATTTCTGCTGGAGCTGTAGTTGCTTAACTACTCAGAAAATAGACATAATACAAATACAGATTTGTTCACTTGGTCATACAACGAAAGGGCCAATACAAATTAGTTGGAAAGACAGATGTTTTCTTGCTCAGTCTATTCTCAAACATCAACAACTCTCCCACTCCCACAACAATCCCTTACCAGCTACCACAGTAAAATCTTCACAAGCTATCACATCTCCATTTTTTATGTGCTTCTTTACAGCATCTTTTACTTTGCCCATTCCTAATTCATTTCCTCCATCTCCAACACCTTTATGAAAAGAGAAAAAGACCAGATGAGTATGAACCCAGCATAGAACTAACAATCCATTTAAGAAAGGACCCAGTGTCTTCCCCAGAGTCCCTGTCACAGTTCATAGCTCCATATGAGATGATTAATCCCTTTTAATCAAAAGTGTCTAAAATCAGAAGACTGTGAATGAAATAATAGCTGAGAGCATCACCTATCACATGCTAACCTGTAGGTGTAGACAGGTGATGTATGCTGTACTGGTGCACGCAAAAGAAACCAAAATTATCAAGTGTTCATGAGCTGCAGACAGAATTAATATAGTAAACTTTGCTTACGGAAGGCCTTAAGCGAGTGCTCTATATAATGCATTATCGTAAGTACGTTAGTACAGCTAGAGAAAGAAGACAGAAAATGAATCAAAAATAAACCAGAAAAATTAGCTTACAATTCCATAATAAAGCAAGCATAAAAAACTTCAGCTTGTTACAAGCTTTAATTAAAAAAAGAGATTAATAGAAGCAATTATTGCAGAAAGATAAGCAAAGATACAGGTAAAGACTTTGGCAGAAGTAGGATTTACTGCACTGGCAATCTGTTTTACACAGACCACTGTCATTGTGCCACAGTGTACAAAGAGCCCAACCCTGTGTACTATTATGGTTTTCAATTTATGAAAAAAATAGCTAGCTTTTTTTTTTTTTTTACAGTCTTCTTATATTTAGGGTGTGGGGCCTTGGTTTTTGTTGGTCAAAGAGAAACACTATGTATTTGTCTCAGTGATTTCAGTAAAATCAATGTCATTTCAGGAAAATTCTGGGCAACCCTATGTTTGGGACATCAAATTGTTAGATATCATTCAGAGATCTGGTGATGAGGATAACATATAAATTAGCAGCTTACAGGAAAGCTGGATAGTACTTCTAGTGTCTAGTATGTATTTAAAAAAGGCAAAAAAAATCCATCTATTTAAATGGAAATTCACATTTCTCTTTCACCTGGTAATCTAAATGGCATTTCTCAAGTTGAAGATTTTATAGAAAAATCCTAGTTAATGTCTGTGAAATGGAACAGTGAAGATCTCCACGTCCTCACTGCAATGTATCGTATCTGAATTTGAAATGTGACTGTGCTCTAATGCGTAGCATGTGTTACAGGAGAGAAATTACAGTATTTATAATTTACACCTCAAGCCCTGAAAATTGACAAATTTAACACTTTTAGTAACTGCATAAATATCTCACATAAGCCTGTAGCAAATTTCTTTTTCAAGTGAAATTGAAAGTTATTTCTCAGCAGCAATTTTTAATTTAACTCCTTAAGTGTATATAGTCAAGGGGAGCGTAACTGAGTGACAGATAACTTACATAAAAGGATTTGCCATGGAGCAGCTACTCTTTTTTTCTTCTCTGTTTTAATGTTCTGTTCACATTTATTTTGGTGTTGGATTTAATGGTGCTTTCTAAAATCTGTTTCTTGGTAGTACTTTTCAAATAGGTTAATGACATTATGATGGACCCTCTATCATCATATATAAATATGGTAGTTACTACTGTTTCATAAGAACCCACACAATGTTTTCATTTTTCTTATATTCTAAATTCAAAATTTTGCTCTTAATATGCTTTAAAAAGGCTAAAATGAATTCTCACCCTTTGAAGCTCATCAACAGTTTCTTCAACAGAAAGATACTCATCTGTTGCTCAGGGGGGTTTCTATCAGCCTTGCTGTGCTTTTTTTGTCTTTGTGGAAGTCCTGTCACCAGGATGGTTATGCAGTTAGTAGATGACTGCTGTGGAGGGATCCCATTAGCATTACACGGGGAGGAAAAGAACACCACACCGAAACTTTCCCTGTACCATCTGTTTTCTTCGTCCTCCACACATCGGCAGAGGATTGCATTTTACTGTGGATTTCCAGAGTGAGATTCACCTGACAAAGCGCAGCCATCTACACATGAGCTAGTCAGCCAGGCTTCTTTTAAACTCAGCAGAGAGAAAGAGACCCGTCAAACATTCAGTTCATCTCAACCCAAGGCAGACATCTCAAATATAGATGTCTGAAAACAGGCAAGATGAATCTTCTTCTCCTAAAGGCCTGAGTGCTTTCCAGGCAGAGGAAAAATAGTTCTGTTGGACCCTCCATGCAAGTTTTCACTGACTACGTTGGTTTGTGAATTCATGAAAAATGCAGGAAATGTCAGTCTTACGTGCTAAAAGTCATTTGTATGAAAGGAAACAAGTGTGACCACATTTTTTCATGCAGTACTTTGGAATGCTTTTCATTAGCTCCTATATAAATAGCATAGAGCTATGTCAATTGTATGACAGCTGGGAAAAAAAAGGATGTGGTTTCAGTCACATCTCTTAATCTTTTATTTCAATCTTTTGTGGAAAATTAGTCCTTCCAACCTCAGTCTTTCACATCTTCTTATTTTATATATTCCTGAAGGTTGCTGCTTACTCCATTGACTTTTTATGATATCGGTACCCATAAAATTGTAGGCATTGTTCATGATTTGTCTGTGGCCAGACTCCTAGATCGGATTTTTTTTATAAACACAGATCTTGTTTCAAATGCAAAACTTGACTGCAATTAATCAGCGTGTAACAAAGGTTCTAGTATTTCCCCTCTCCAGCTACTAACACAGTACTTCTTGCCACTGAGCACACTGTATAAAGACTTCTGTAAGGCTGAAAACTTGATCTTTCCAGTATCCTTTTCTATGGTGTCATCATTATCTATGATGTTATCTGAGTACTCCACCGTGATGGGTGCTGTATAATATTTGCATTTTATTTTGAAACTAGACGTATGCTTCCAAATTCCTACTGACCGTGAAGAAAGTCAAAGATAGCCCCACCAGAAAAATTTGTCCTAATCAGTAGCCTTCAGTAATGAGAGACAAGATGCAAAGGCCACAGCCCAGATTTGTGCCTTGTTAAGCTAGGCTTTGCAGAAATACATTGAAAAAGCCAACAGTCATCCCAAGAAACAGTAATGAAATTAAAAAACACAGAAAGTTAGTGTGATAAGCAGAATAACAAATGTTAACAAAGTAACAGACAAGGGAAGAAAAATTTACATTGTTTTTCTCCAAATACTCAAGTAGTCCTCTGGCATTCTATACCCATGTACTCAAATTCCATGGAAGATCAGAGCAGATACCTTCATTGTTTTTTGAAGCCTATGACTTGTTAAATCATTTTCTATGCAGACATCTTCTAGAGAAAATTCACGGCAATGGGACGCAGTGAATCTGGATAACTGCTTCGTTTCTTCTTATTCACAAGTTTGTGGTATTTTTAATTAATGACATTTCATAGTATATTTCACTGCTCAGAGAATGTTTAAAACAAACTAAATTCTACTGAACAGATTCAAATTCACACTGTGCAGAACACTCCAAACTCCACCAAATCAGTAATACACTTTGAGCTGCTCTGGGAGATATTTTAAGAGATTAGGGTATTTTTATTAAAGTGATGTTACATTAAGTAGCTGGAGAGACCAAGACCTGGTATCAACAGTCTAAAATCAGAGGCAAAATAATTAAAATTAACTGCAGCAGATAAAGCTCTGAGGCATTTTGCTAAACATCTTTATGAAAGAGAGCTTTTACTCTCCTTATTCAATCAATCTCTCGCTTCTCTGCTGAGATTGCCAGCAGAGTGCCATCTAGAGTGCTGCTTTCTGAATGCTGAGAGTGACTCCTTAGGAACAGGACAAGCATTTGAATTAAATCTAAGGAAAATGTATTACAAGTGTTAAGATAATACAAAAAATACCAGTGAACGCTTCTGCTATGCAGCTTTTAAATGATTCCAATACAGTGAAATCAGACTACACATGATCTGTGCAGGAGCTCTCTAAATTCTGTGGAAACATTTGAAAAACATCGCTACTGAGAAGTCAAAGTTCCAGTGCTTTTGGCTATGCTTAGGAGTGAGTCCACAGCACTACAAGAAGAAAAAAAGCCAGATCAGCAGACATGTACTGATGTGACTGAAATCAGCCTGGCATGGACACTTACTTCTACTTTTGTTTCTGATATTTATATAGACTATGTATCTCCTGCTCTGTTTCGGGTCATACAGTGTAGCACGAAGCATTTGATTGTACAAGGACGTTGTACAACGCTTTGTATGTATATCTGGGAATCCTTGATGTATGGCATATTCTTTCTTTCAAAACCAGACATAAGTCAATTTTCAGGAAAAAAAGGACTATTGACAAAAGAGAGGACAAAAGAGAGAGGATGAAAAGAGAGTGCAACAGCACTCATTAGATATATTGGTCCATGTTAACACAGTTTTGTCAGGAAGGCCAACGTACTCCTTTAAAGATTATTGTCGTATACGTATATTTTGTTAGAGAAGGCGCTATTACAACAGATGCAAATATGCAATTCCTGCTCAAGAGAATGTACTGCTAAAAGGCAATATAAACTAAATTCTATCCAGACTGCTGTCTTAACACAGGTGTAACAATCATAAAAATAACTATAATATTTTAATATGTAATGATTCCATGCAGTAGTCGCTTTCTTTTTATGCTGCCATTCACACATAAAATGCAGAATAAAAGCAGTGTCAAAAACTACACTTAGAGAAGCGTATGTATGCACACTGATGTATAGATAACACACACATCTGAGCTTGCTTTTTTGTCCTTAAATAACTTTGAAATCAACTCCACTTTTTTTTGGTTGTGAGAACCCTTCAATAGAGACCTCTAATTTTTCTCCAGCAACGGTCTCTAAATTCAACCATGCCAAACAGCTGTAGCCCACAGGCAGTTATTCAGCACCTGCCTCCTGCTCCCCTTCACTTCCAGTAAGAGTTCCTGTTTTGCGCTTCTCTTCCTTCTGAGAATGTAACACAAACTCACACATACCTGTTGTTGTGACTCCTGGAATGGTTTGTGCAGCTAAAAATAGTTCATCTATGGGATCCACTAGATGTTTAATGTTAACTTTCCTGGCATTGTAATAATTGCCATCAGCAGCCATCCCAGCACGCTCTATTGCTATCAGGTGATCAAATCTGGTTAGAGGTGAGGGAAAAAACAGAGGTGAGGGGTCAAAGCTGTGATGGTCACGTAAAAAGCACTTCTGTTGGCTGCTTCTCCTGTTGTGCTTGGTTCTACTTCTTGACCGTTTGGGGTTCAAGGTAAAACTTTGATACTGTTTTGTTATTTCTGAATTTAGTTCTCTACAGTTTATTTTCAAAAGTTAGTCTAGTTTCTTTATAGCTTTAGTGCAACTTCCTCAAATCACATTTGCCACTAAGAAATGGAGAAGTTCCCTAAAATCCTTCTAACTAGCAATCATTTGGGTCAGGCATCTGGTCTTGCTCTGTTTCATGTTAAAATACATAATATCTTGTACGACATTAGTCTCTATAAGTGTTTTCAAAGAAGACTAACAAGTGGCAAACCATTGATCCTCTAAATCCTTGTTGGTGTACATATAGTCTCTGCTTAAAGTACATTGCTTGGCAAATGAACATTTGTTTCTAGTTAGGGAGTTTTTTGGTTTGGGTCTTTAGATTTGGGGGATTTTTCTTTAAGTCTATGGCTGGTTTGCTAGTTATGAAAGTAGACAGATGTCCTGCAGATGTCATATGTAAGCAGAACTTTAGTACTCAGTTCTGGCACTGTATGTTAGAACTACATTTTACTGATGAGAGGTTACTAATTCTGCTGAATTACGTAATGTTTTGGTGAGTGGGTATCTACAGTGACTCCAGAGACTGTTAAGTAGGTTAGCTGCCTCCTTTAAAGAAATACTTTAGCTTCTTGGGACAGTGGGATCAATTGAAATAGAAAGTGGCTGTAATTATATTTTGCATAGCTATAACACGCATTTTTAAAACAACACATAAAAAATGAAGACCGTATCATGATACTATTATAACATACTCTAACCTGTGGAAAGAAATGGGAATTGAGTAAGTTGATGAAGAAAATATCAGTGTGAAAGATCTTTTTATTAAAGATAACAAACTGAAGGCTTAAGCTGGTGACGGGTCGGGAGCACAAGTCTTATGGGGAGCGGCTGAGGGAACTGGGGTTGTTCAGTCTGGAGAAGAGGAGGCTGAGGGGAGACCTCATCGCTCTCTACAACTACCTGAAAGGGGGTTGTGGTGAGGTGGGTGTTGGTCTCTTCTCCCAACTAACTAGTGACAGAATGAGAGGAAATGGCCTGAAGTTGCACCAGGGGAGGTTTAGATTGGACATTAGGAAAAATTTCTTTACGGAAAAAGTGGTCAAGCATTGGAACAGGCTGCCCAGGGAGGTGGTGGAGTCACCATCCCTGGAAGTGTTTAAAAAACATGTAGAGGTGGCACTTCAGGACACGGTTTAGTGGGCATGGGGGTGGTGGGTTGGTGGTTGGACTTGATGATCTTACAGGTCTTTTCCAACCTTAATGATTCTGTGAAAATGCTTTACAAGCAAAGATCAATAAAAATGAGCAATGTATGCCTACTAAAAAGCAATATAAGTTGCCTGCTAAGTAATGAAATGTGTGTACAGCTACCTAGCAGTTCTCCAGTGTATGAACCCTAATCATGCACTTTATACAAAGCTGAATTTTTGCCCAACATTGCATATTCAGCAATGCGTATGCAAACAGTTCCAACCAATATTGAGAAGTGCTTGCATACATCTATAAATTTGGCTTTGGCTGCCTAAAGACAACAGGACAATCACTTTCGTGCTACAAAAAATACATGACATTTTATTAGATTGGATTCCCCAGTTGTCAGACTTGAGAAAAAGCTCTAGAAGGTGAACACACTCCGCAACTCTTTTCCCACCTCTTTCACTGACTCTGACATGGAACTTGCCCTTTCTGATTTTCTCACTGATTTAAAAGCTGGTAAAATAATATCGTGTGTGTGTGTACATATCTATGGAATATACAGTAACTGAAAAGCTTTTAGAAATTCTTCGAAGAAAAGAACTATTAATATATGAAGTATTGTTTCCGTTTTTTTGTACTTCATAAATGCATAACTGCAGAATAACGTGGAATTCTGTACTCTGTGTGTGCTCCAATAGCAATGTTTAGCTTCAAAGTTTGTTCTGTTCATTCCAGATCTTAAGATTTACTTGTAACCATTATACCTTCTTAGATCATGGTCATTATTTTTTTTATAACTTTACACAGTAGAGGTGTGACCCATTCTCAAAAACTGTATACACATACCTAGGTCTTCCAGGATTCCCATTCTCACACAAAAACATTAAAGCTGAATCAGCACTTTCCCTTTGATAACTCAGTAGAGGAACAGGTCTCTTCAGGATTCCTACAGGAAAACAAAATACAATTCAGATACTATGTAATTTTTTTTTTTTTGACATGTGTTTGAGTAACTTAAAAAAAAGCTGAACAGTTAGAATGGTAAAGACTCAATGTCTTTACACAGCTGCTGATAAAATCCCTACATCCTTACTTTAAATTAAACTTGTTTGGATGCTAGTGCTAGTAAATAGGACCTTGAGATAGAAAACAGGTCTACAAGAGTAAGAACAGACATCCAGAATTTGTCACAAACAGCTAATCCAGAATCGGTACCCAGACACGTAAGCATTACTTTGATGCCAGCTAGATTTAACAAAATGCTGTTGTAGCGATGCTGATCAGAGCTTACGAGGATGAACTCTGGTTCATTCTTGGGGCGGGGGGGAAGCTGTACTAAGCGATAGCGAGATTAACTGAAGCAAGCCTTGGCTCAAATGGGCAAGATGAAGGCTGAAAAAACATGTGTCTTACCTAGTTGAACAGCCTCTTCAATAATCTTTTTATTCAGATTCACGGCTCTCTGATCTGTTACTATGGCAACCTCTTTCTCCAAGGCCTGCAATAGAGCCGCAATAGCGAGGGCTCCCGGGGGCCCGTCGTTCTCCTCTGGCGGCTCGTGAGTGAAGTGGGTAGGAAATCCAGTTGTTATCAGCACCGACCGGGCATGGGAGATGGACAGGCAAGCCTTCAGCAGCTCGTCCTGGCGGCGTAGATGAATTATACCCCGGTCTCCTATAAAAGTGTTTTTAAAGAGAGCGGTACACTTCAATATATCATTCTCCTTTTGAAGTTTCTGTGTGGGTGAACCTGCATGCTTTAATGACATAAAATGGGGTTAAAAAAAAAAAAAAAAAGAAAGAAAAACCTCTGGTTAAGGCAGGAATTGGGGTAATTTCCTCCGGAAACCTAGGAAAGGATAGGATATGAGTAATGAAGATAATGGGCTGTGCTTCCAGGTTAAGAATTTCAGTTAACTGGAACTTGAAAATTACTATCCCTAGCAGTTCGAGGTATTTGTGTAAATAGGTGTTTCTTTTTCTGAGAGCTTTTTGCATATTGTTTCCTTTCCTTTGGCCCTCTGCTTTCCTTTGCTCTCTGGTGACAGCCACGCTAGATCGTGTCTAGCTACTGAAGCTAGATCACAACTCGAGCATCTCAGATCTTACAGAAGTTTTGACACTGACTTCAGATGAGTAAGCTGGTCCTTTGTCTCTTTTTAGCTCTTCCCTAAGCGGATAGAGTTAATTCCCAAACAAATGCCCCTTAATTAAATGTTCATCCACAGAAATGAGGTTTCAGAGATGCTGTACGTTACCAGGGGACTTTATAAATTCAGTTACTACAGTGGTATCTGGGTGACCGCTAAAAGATCTTGTAACTCTTCCTGTAGTAGAGAACCGTGTTACCTGACTTTGAGAAGCAGGTGAGTAGTAACAGATATCTCTTCTCATGGGTCAGTCCTAAAGAGGCAACACGGTGTCATCTGTGTATGCCTTTCACCGTTCAAACACCTCCCATCCCCTCTCCCTTCCCTGGCACTCGGAAACACAAGTTCACAGCGCAGCCCTTTCGGTCTGCTGGCACTCCTGAAGGCACGTGCCGATATTCGTGGGCTGACAGGGAGGGGTAAGTCCCTGCTATTGCTTTCTAGCCTATTCGATCTTCATCTTTCTCACCTTCCTCTCCTCCCCCACACTTTCCTCTTTGTCCTAAATTTCCCCTTTGCCATTTCTCCCTCTGTTCCTCCTAAATAATATACAGACAATGTACAGATAAGGGACACAGAAGAAAGTTCTGAACAAAGCTTAAGTAACAGAAGCAGGGAATGTTGGTCTCTGAGAAGTGGGGTATATTAACGGAGATAAAATACTGTACTCTCCTTTAGCAATAAAATGAGCTAACTCTTAAGTTAGGTCCTGCATTTCTGCAGAGGATGGCACTGTGCCAAGCTGAACTCCAGAGAGTGGGAAAAGGAGAGGCCTTGTGAGTAAAAATAAACAGCCCCAAACATATGCACGCAGCCCAAACCCGGAGCTTGGGAGAGCTGGGCGTAAGCTGCTTTCCACTACTGCCTACAGAGGATTTCAGAAAAATTATGGGAAACCGCGATCAGAATTTACAGGAGAGGGGACTAATTCAGTGTGTATTTTGGGAAGGGTTGCGCTATTCGGTTTGCCTTTATTTCCCTCTCATCTTCCTTGCGCACACATGCAGCCCTACCTCTCAACCTTCTGTGGCGATCAGGTCGCTTTGGTCCATCACACACCACCGCAGTGATGAATGTGTCGGCAGAGCTTGACGTAATTCCACCCATCAGAGAGTGATGTATGAAAAGCGCATGCAACTACTAGAATTTTCTTGTAGGAACACAGTAGTCATGAGTATATGTAAAGAAATGTGCTATTTGCTCAACATGAATACCCATGTAGCTGTTACTAGCATGCTGAAGTAAATTAATACCAGTTTTAGTCTTAGTAACAGTTATTCTCTGTGGACTCTCCAGCCTGCTGTAAACATCGATGCTTCTGTGTACTTTGGGAGTATACAGTCATCAAGATCAGATATTCCATTACCCATAAGGTTGAATGGTTTTGGCCAGACTCTGATATTAAGTACGGTAACAGAAATTGTAGGGCCTAGTTATATTAACTCACTGTATTCCACAAAGAATTTTTAAAATCTCAAAATTGCCTTTAGATTCTTGCTGTGCTCTTGAACTTTACGAATATCTAAAAAAGCAGGATAGGGCATACCTACCTTGTAACAAATCCACTAAAGGAAGAGAGTTTTTGGTTTTACCTGGGTCTATTCCAATTAGGGTCTCTAAAGTCTTTATCTTCTGGGCTGCTTCTGTTGACACAATACTATAATGCAGAGGATCTCGAGAAACGCAGTGGACTTGTGGGACTTCTCTTGAGGATCTGACTGTGATGTTGTCATTCTTTAGGTCGGTAATGAACATACAGCCCGGAGAATGAGTAAAGGCTAATGGAGCTCCTAAAGTGGATGAAAAAAATTCAGTTGAACATGCTGTTATTGCAATATCTTCAAATATCAGAGTCATAAAATCGCAAAAATCTATTTAATTTAACAACACAGAGTCCCTGCCTGATGACACTTATAAAAACATGATACTTGCTGTAATGTAACTTAAAGTAATACACTTTGTCAAAGAAATGTATGCATTATACATCTGGACACTTTTTCACTTTTAAAAAGGTAGTTGAGATCAGGTTTTTCTACAATATCCTCCTTAGTAGCAACTTGAGGTAACTTAGGATCTGAACACTGGTACCCTCCACAGAAGTCTGTCAGGAATTTGCAAGTCTGAATATTGTGTTTGACATGCAAGAAGAAACTAGTGCATTGACATAAGAACAAGTTAATGCTTAAGTTTGCACAGCATATTGGTGATATTGTTTCCATAAGAATAAATTAATTTTCTAGGTTCTAGAGTGCTGCTGGAAGCTATAGTGTCTCTCTTGTACCTTCGAATATCCTTGTAATAGTGGTACGACTATGTCAACTACCACCTGCTGGTTAGGAGTAGTCCTTTATTGGATTAAGAAAATGGGAAATAGCATCTCTGTGCAGTGCCTTGCTGATCTAGCTAGGAGACCTCTAAACTAGCAAGGAGTAATGACAAAAGGCAACCAGTAAACCTTAGCTAAGGGAATCTGAGTAAAACCCTGGTGAACAATAATCTTGTTTAGACTTGACAGCATAGTAGCTCCCTAAAGCTGAAAATATTTGCCGTCCTTATACTAATTCAAGAAGTCTTGATCTAGGTTATACTTGATTTGGCAACATCAGTATGTAGTTGGATAAATCACAACTGGTACAAGCAAAATCTTACTTTGTTAGCATGGTGAAAAGGAAGGAGATATTTCTTTAACAAGTACATATGTGCTTGGTCTGTGCTAGATCTGTTGGGAGTCTACAGCTAGTTAATTTAAAAGCAGCTGGGGAACATGGTTGTTGAAGTTTAATATACCTCACCAAACCACGTGAATAGACAATATTTTTTGTGAGAAACTAGGAGATCCATCTAAAGTATGGGTACTGGTGGTATGGCTGAATTTTAACTACCTAGATGAGAAAGGAGCACAGAAAGATATGAACTGCCAAAAAATTCCTGAAATGAATTCATGACAACTGGTTTTAATACAGAAAATGGAGGAATAAGTCAAAGTAAAAGCCAGCTCCAGGCAAAGTTGGGATAGACAGCTGCTTTCAGCAACAGATTGTAGAGAGGTTGGCAAACTTTCTCTCTCCTTTCTGTGCAACAAGAACGCATGAGGAAGGTGAATAAAAATGCTGGAGAACATGGGAAAGAGCAGGATTTTCGTTTTGGATTTGGGACTGGAGAAAAGGGGTTGTATGTAAGAAGGAAAAAGACGACTCTGCTCCTAGTGCTGAGCATATTTACAGCAGGTGTTGAGAGCAGGTTAGATTAACATCGTTAAGGAACCACAAGGACATAGCAGATTTTGCGAGGAGGACAAAGCAGATGACTTCCCAAGGCTCTCCCAGTTATACTGCCTATGATTATTAAGCTTCTTTTTCAGTAAGATCTAAAATATGAGATTTCATTCCATGCTGCTGATTTAGAGCAGTACATAATACTATCACTACGGTTTAGTTGCATGTTCTTGCCCTGTGTGCTCATACCTGTTATAAATGACTGGATAAAGTGCAGGACAGCTCTGTGTGGAGGACAAAGCTTCATTTATGTAAAGTCTGTCACATTTTCTTCATTTTAAAACAAAAGCTAAAAGCTCAAAATTCTTCTCCAGGTCAATCAATCTGCTAGCTCTTGACAACTGGCTGTTTTGTCTATTTCTTTTTTCCCTTTATTACTGTTTTACTGCAGGGTAATACAAAATAATATTTTAAAAGGGGGAAGCTTAGAAAAGAATGCCCTTAAATTTCTAGTTTTTAATAATGCCTAAAAAAGACGTTTTGATGCTGCCAGAACATTAGATTTCTGCCTTTAAAATACTCAAACAAAAGTGATGGAATTTCAGTAAGAACTTCCTTGAAGGCAGACCTATATTTCACAATAGAAAATAGTCCCGCCAAAGGCTTTTTCTGCTGTTTGGTTGGGGTGTGTTTTAGCTCCCTCTCAAATCAAGCCGGCTAATCAGCCAACTCAGTCCACAATTTTTTTTTTTTTTGGTTGAAAAAGTGAGAGAGAGAAAAAGAGATTGAAGGCTGATTTAAAGAGGGTCTCCAAGTATAGTACATACTGCAGTTGATGACTGCTTCTACTCCTGTTACTCCACAGGCCCAAAACACCGGAATGTCACCAGGGTGAAGGTGAACTGGATCTCCATAATCTGGTTTGGAAAGATCTTGTATTCCCAGCAGACCTGGAATTGATGAAAAACGCAATTATGGGAGACTTCCAATTAGGCAGAAATACTGCAAAGCCGGGGCGGGAGGTGGGCCCCAAACATCAGTGATGCTAAGCTAGAACTGCAACAGTGGCAAGTGCCACCGAAGTGGCATATTTAGTTTGCCTTTGAGTGCATGTCCCCAGAACCTGAGCTGACTTGTTTTCCCTTTTTGTACTCAGTGACCTCAGTAAAAATATATTCACTTTATTTCTGCAGCAAAACACAAGCTAGATGTGTACGCTGGGTTTCCAAGATATTATAAATCTTCTCTATCAACAGAAGAACTATATTCATAACACTGGCAAACAAGAATAAATGACTGCAATGCAAAATGGGTTCTTCCTAGAACATGTTTTCTCCTGCTTTAGCTTCCTACGATCTTTAGCTAGAGAAACAAGCAACCACTTTTACCCCTCTGGGTTAGATAACTACATCTCACTCTTACCCAGTTTTCACTAAATTGCTTTATTCTAACACCTACTTGTAATGTTCTGGGTCATTCTAAGCACTTGCTCTCTTCCCTTCATTTTAAATTCTTCAGACATTTTAGTATACCACTGTCTTTTATGGAATTAATATATTATTAAATTAATATTTAATTAATATTAAATAGTAATTATTAAATTAATAAATAATTGTTAAACAAATAGTGGAGTCTCTCACTTGCCTAATCATCTTGTTGCTCGACTTAAAGTAATGGCTTATTACTAGTTCCTCAGATTTAAGCACTCGGACCAAATATATTACTGGGGTGTACGGTTACCAATGACATCTCCTTCCACACTCTGCAATGTGATCCTTCTCTGTATGCAGCCCATAAGTCTACTGACTGACAAATTTCTTTCAGCAGAGGGGAATTTTTTTTTATTGTGATCTATCTTCATCAATGGGTTTGGTTTTGTTTTTTTCCCAACAGCCTCCTGCTTTATAATTTTTTTTTTCAGTTTTCCCTTGCAGAGAATAGGCCTATACTTGTCTAAGGATTTAAAAAAATAAATATATTCTTGTCATATTTCTATTTATTCTGTCTTAAGCATTGTGCTCAATGTATCCTATTTCAGTATTTCTAAAAATAACGCAGTATTTACTTTCACAGTCATCCACTAAGACACAAAATCCATCCACACATACTTCCCCCCGTGCTGTCAAACGTTGATACCCTGTCACTGGAATCTCTGACAGCAAGAAAGTATTCATATATAAATGAAACTGCATGTATTTTAGAAAAATGTGATTACACTTTTACAAAACCACCACTTCTATATAACTTAATTTATCAACATCAGACATCTATCTTTTCTCCAAGAAATGTCTTGGATAAAATATTCAGCTCATTCAAAACCTACTTTTTTCTTTTTTTTTTTTTCCCCCAAATCAGGTTTGTGATCATTAGAAAGGATCAAAACATCATAAATTTACTTGTGTAGGTATTTTAGCCCTACCACTTCCCATGGTTCCCCCCGCCTTCATTTTTATACACAGGAAAGTGCATGCAGAGTGAAACGTGAAGAGCACTGACCAGGGCCACCCAGGTGAATCGGTGCCCCATGGGCTGCTTTTAATTCAGATGTTGCTCGCACAGCTGCTTCCAGCTTGCTTTCGGGGATAGGTCTCATTGTGACTACTAAGTTGCAGCAAAAAGTGGAAATGCTGTAGCAAGGCACGGCTGTCTGGGAGTTTAAAAGAATCCAAGGTGTTAGCAGGAATATTGAATAATACTTTTAAAGTGTTAGAAGAAATAAGTCGAAAACTTTGTGCTGTACTTGAGTTTAGAAAGGCCACATACTAACATTCATTTTAAATCCTTTTAAAAGAAATTTTTTTTTCCTAGCATCCCATAATTACTTTTTTTGTAAGATCCAGCAGTGCATGAATGAAAAATTCCATCCTTGAGCATCTTCATATAGATCATTAAAATTTTCAATATTATGCATTTCTTGTTTTGGTACATGCAGCATACAGTGTGGTGAGCACAGTATATTCTGAATATTCTCAGAAATCAACGACATGCTCCCTGTACAGAAAGGGGAAAAGCTAATAAAAAGTATCATACGGTGACAGATCTATTTGGTCTGAATTTAGGCTCTGTATTTGAATTCGGGGAGCTGCAGTGCTCTGTAACATGCAAGGGGCAGCAACTCCTGCTGCTGGCAGTGCCGGCTTCTACAGAAGCAGCATGCTGGTTCCACACATACAAAGCCTTTTGTACCTCTAGAAAGGTTCTACGGAATTCATCATCCTCACTTACTGGGTTGCTGAAGCACCTTTTCTGTTCAGAAATAAAGCAGCTCAGCTTTTTGGAACAAAATGTCTGATATCTAGGTTGCATTGGAACATAAACAAGATCTGTAGACAGCTGGAGCTGAATAGAAAACGTTCATTAACAATCTTTATAATAAAAATCATTATACCTGTCACTGAAGAAACACACTGTACAGTTTTTCACAGTATTCGTGCTATAAACTATGAAATTTTCCTAATTCTGAAATGTTATAAGCAGATACATAGTTGTATTTTTATTTCTTTAAGCTTGGTAGAAGGACTCATGTATGAGATGTATTTGTGCCTTCATTTTGACCAGGAGTATAGCAAATGCCCTGTATCCTGGGCTGCATCAAAAGCAGCACGACCAGCAGGTCAAAGACGCGGTTTGTTTGTTTGTTTGTTTGTTTTTCTCCTCTCTTCTCCACTCTGGCGAGACCCCACCTGCAGTACTGCATCCAGCGCTGGGGCCCCCAACATCAGAAGGGCATGGACCTGTTGGAGAGGGTCCAGAGGAGGCCACAAAAATGATCAGAGGGATGGAACACCTCTCCTGTGAGGACAGGCTGGGACAGTTGGGGTTGTTCAGCCTGGAGAAGAGAAGGCTCCAGGGAGACCTTACTGCAGCCTGCCAGTACCTGGAGGGGGCCTACAAGAAAGCTGGAGAGGGACTTTTTAGAAAGGCCTGTAGTGACAGGACAAGGGGTAATGGCTTTAAACTGAAAGAAGGTAGATTTAGATGAGATACAAGGAAGAAATTCTCTTCTATGAGGGTGGTGAGACACTGGAACAGGTTGCCCAGGGAAGCTGTGCATGCCCCATCCTTAGAAGTGTTCAAGGCCAGGCTGGACAGAGCTTTGAGCAACCTGGTCTAGTGGAAGGTGTCCCTGCCCGTGGCAGAGGGGTTGGAACGAGATGAACTTTAATGTCCCTTCCAACCCATTCTAATAGTGGAGCCATAATTATTCTACGACTTCTGCCAACATTAAAATCTGCACTAGAAACTTTCTGAGCACAGTTACAATTTTCAGTGCTATGGTAGATACCTCAAGTTTTTGGGAACACCTGTCCCACAGGTCTGGGTTCATAGTAGAGCCTCTAAGCTGCCTATTTGCTGTCACAGGAAAAAAAACAAAATGTGGCTGTCATTTGTGCAGAAGAAACTGCCACTGTCATGGCTCATAAAAGGAATATTCCTACTGCAAGCCAGAGCTGGCAAGGAGAGCGGGGCATGTATAAAGGCATGGTCAGAGCAGTGCATGGGTCATCAGTTGAAATGGAGAAGGTAAGCCAGAACAGAATCCAAATGAAATGGCTGCCATGGCAAACAAGGAAAAACTTTGTTACCATACATGAAAAAAAAAAGCAGATTGGCCTTGCAGGAAGTTGAGAAAAGCACTGAACTGAGGCTGAGCATATTTTACCCTGTGTCTTTATGCACTCAGCACTAGGACGTGCCTAAAGTTACTATGCAGGTAAGAAAAAAAAAGTTCTGATTTTGAGCAAGGTATATGCACATAACATGAATATGGACAAATACTCAAAGGCAAAGTTACGACAAAGACTGTGTACACTTACCTTATACATGCTTACATTACACTTTTGCTCAACGTTTCTTATGGGAATGCCAGCATTTTGGACTGCTTTTTCAAAAGAGAAGCTGCAGCCTAAATAAAAAGTCACCATGTCCTGAAGTTGTTCAGAATACTCCTTTAGGCTTTTCAGTGATCCGGTACAAACTCCATGCTCATATATTCTGTACTGTAGGCAGTCAGTTCTAGCGAAATAAGAAGTTATCACAGCTTTATCATATTTTTTTTGAAAACAATGTGAATTGTTTGAACTGACATGAACTCAGTATCAAACCACAAGATACAGACTACTTCATCCATTTCTTTTCTTCCTGAGTAACAATGAAACAATCACATGCAAAAACCCTCAGACACCTTATTCTGCACAAAAACAAGCCAGGAAACAGAACATGTTACAGTTCGGTACTTTTTAGATTTTGTAGGTAGATGCAACCTTATTGTTTCTTGTCTCAGGGCTTTGAAAATTAGGGAGTTGTTTTAAGTCTTGCTTTTAGCGTTTACTGCAGCAGTACAGTTTTTTAAATTTCAGAGACCCTACAAATATCATGCAGTCACCATGCCTGCGTTACTACTAAATTAAACACAGGTAAAACACTGTTATTTAATTCTGCTGGCTCAGACTGTGAAATATTTAGAAATTACACAATTTCACTTTTGCATTAGAGAAATACTTGTAATACTTACAATTATCATAACAAGTTTCTGAAGAACAAGGCATTAGGCTATCGTACTCATGCATAGCTTTCACTCAAAGATACAACTCCAAGAAAAGAAACTTATTCAAAATGTACAACAGTTGTGAGCAGGCTGTTCCCGGAAACCCTCCTAATCACCACCAGCATTCACTGCAGAACTTTGGGAAGCAGAGCTGGTCCATAGTTACCTGATATCAGCATCAATACTCAGAGAAGGACATTTCCAATCACCTGGTTTACTTCTGTACAGCAGCGGCAGGGGTCCCTCATTTGCATGGCAAAACTTCTCAAAGTCATCAGCCAGGGACTTGTGCAAAATCACGACATTGGCCTGTTTATAGCCTGAAATTGTGGAAGGTAGGAATGACTTGTTATTAATTCATCTTTTTGTTTGTGCAACAGTAACTTTTCTGGATAGATTTCTTTAGACGGTCTATAAAAAGTTACCTGATGGAAACTTTTGAATTCTGAACTCCATAGTTAAATTAAACAACTTTTTGGGAATGTTTTTAAAATCAGAGCTAGATGTACTCTGTGTGTGAAGTTGTTCACAGCTACAATAATTGGCAGACACGTGTGGTACTAGAATATGAAGGCGGCATAATTACTTTAATAAACACTTCTATGAATTTATATATAAACATAATTTATTACCTAACCTGAGAAATTAGTATTCTGTAGGAAAATGCTTTACTTCACAAATGTTAGCACAGAGCCAAAGAAAAGCTATTGTGTACCACCCTTTTATCTTTTTTTTTTTCCCATTTAATACCAAGCTATAAATCATGTCCAGTCCAACAGTAAACTTCCAGTATCTTGACATTACGTAGCCCATTCATAACAGACCTAATTACAGCTCAGGAGTAAACTTTTGTCTGTCACACTGAATCTCAGTCGTTTCTACTATTTCTAATTTTAAAAACTAAAATGAACAGAACTACTACATTTTCTTCACTTGCAATCAACTTTAATTTACAAGGTTGTTGACTACCATCATGCAATAGCTTCTAACAACACTAACATTTTTGCAGTGAGTATCAATGAAGAAAGCTCACATTCATTTATTTAGCAAAAAATTATTTTCTAAACAGTAGTAGTTAATATCAATCCCACTTTGATTTTCCTGCATGTAAATACCAGCTTTTCAAATACAGAGAGGAAATTTGGAGTACAGCTAGTCTGTGGTGTATAAAACCGCTAATTAGTAGTCCCGAACCCCCGCATTGATACTGTTTTGAGAAGTTATTACCGTGTCCGGTATCAGACAGGTGAGTAAGAGGCTGCATAGAAGTTTTCACTTCCATAAATACTGTGGTAGTCTGTCATCTAAGAGGCAATCATCTAGTTGAAATCAATGATCTGCCTTAAAAGGCTGTAAGTAATCGGACAGATCTTACTCTTGACCAAAGCCAACAAAGAAGCCAAAAGACAAAATTATATTCCTGATGGAAAAATGCAAAGCACAGGCTGAGGTAAGCATGTATTTGCATACTCAATGTGCCCACAAACTGCTCTCTTGAGAGTACTCGGCACAAAAATTCATTTTATTACAGCAGAAGTTACTAAATACAGAAGCAGTTTCTTGCTAAATACAGTAATATATTTTTGTTAAATAAACATACTAATTTTACCACTGAACAAAATACTACATTCAGTTACCCCTCAATTTCATTCCCTGCCATCCACGTGAAATCCACAGACACTTTCTACTTTGCTGGTGATATTCAAGAATTCTTAAAATTACAGGTTTAGTCAGTGCATTCAACTTGGACAACACTAATTTAAAGTATTGGTCACAGCTGACAGACCAAACCCGCAGGCAACTTTCAGGCATTCTGTAAACTCGGGAAGCTTCGTTATAACTCTTTGACAACTTTATTGCTCCTCCTGATAACGATCCTTACTTTCTTTATAGATTGAAAGATATTTTTCCCTTTCCATATCAGCTTACGTATATACTTGCAGCATTATGTATCCATCGTTATGAATATATTCACAAGCAATGTTAGTGAAGCTGGACGTGCTGATCAACCCATGCATTAATTCAATACACTCATGTCCCAGTTTAGAGAAGTTTAGAAAGAGTTTTTAATTTCTTTGGTGAATGACAATGAGGGCAGTAAGAAATAACTATTTGAGTAGTATATCACCCAACAATCTACGACAATTCTAAGGATTCTGAGAAATTCCACTTATCCTAGTTTTTTTAGTCTTTGTGTGATGGAGCTGTATGCTCATGGCTGGAAGTACAAACTTGTTTTGTATGTAAACAATACTTTTTTCGAATGTTAAAACCAACACATTTAAAACTACTGCAGCAACACATGCACTTAAAACTACGGTTGGGGCAAACTGCAGATTATTAGCATTATAACATGTTTTCCATTAGCATTTTTCAACTTATGTATTGGTGGAGAACAACAGCACAATTTCAAGATTCACTATGCTTCTATAAAATGATCCTTAATGTTCTTATTTTATAGTAATGCTACTACACACAGCTTTGTTAACCAGCTACTTGTCGCAGTATTTTTAATTAAGTTACATTTTAAAGTTGATCAGAACAATTACATAGAACTCTCTGCTTCTGTAAAAGCTCAGCTATGAGAGGCAAGACTGAAGTCAATTTTCCAAAATGCACTCAGTTATCAGAGTATAAAACTATTTTTTCCTCTCCCCCTTATAATTCCCAGTCTTGCGGAGTCAGTAATTTCTGTAAATTTAAAAGTAAAATAACTTCTTCAACAAACGAAGCAGAGAACCACTTCTGTAACTATGAGTCTCTAATCCTTCCCTGAAGCGTGCCCGACGCACTAAGTAAAGCAAGGTCTCTGTGAGGAACACAGCATGCCATCCTACAAATGTGATGATAAGGGACACAAGAAAAGCCAGGTTTGGTTAAAGATTTTTCAAATATTTTCTGCATCCATAATTTCTCAATGACGTAACTGGGCCCTGAGGGAGGTACTGCAAACTTTGAAAACAAAGTCCATGTACTTTACACAGGGAGGGCGATATATTTTTTTTTATTATGTAGCTTTATGATTTAAGAACAGTGTCAGGTGCTTACCATGTGATTTTAAAAAAAACAACCTAAGTGACCTAAGAACTAAATCAACTTAACATTTTCTTCAGTGCTTTTGATATTCCTACATTTCTTCACAGACAAAAAAAGAAAACACATAGCTATGAATCTAAAATGGAGTCACTTTTGCACTTAGAGCTGTTAGGATTACTTACCCTCCGCCATTCCAGAAGTATTACTAATACTGAGTCTGTTGTATCGAATTATCCTTCTTAGCACATGGGGAAGGAGAGATTTCAAGCCTCCTGTCAAAACCATCTCTTCAGCCTTAACAGAAAGATAATTATAAATTTAATCACAAAGCACATTTATTTTTTTGACATTTTAAATTCTGATTTGCTGGAGAATTTAGCTTAAGTTTCCTCCTCGTGATCTACAAAAGTTGTTATCACTGGGAAATTCTAAGTTATAACCCAAAAGGCAGATCAAAGTCAAAAGGTTATTTCACTGGTATTTTATGACTAAATGCAAACTGAATCTTTCAATAAATTAGCCAGAGACCGGCACTTTAACATTGCTGGCTTGTAATGGAAGAAACAGATTTATTTCCTCCCTGGTAAATATTAATTTCCTAGAGTATTCACTTTTCCAAAACTCATAGTAACTTCAAAATTGTAAAAGCACAAATGGATTAACCTACCAAGCTATAATCTGTAATACTACTTCTACTTCTACAAATATAAATACAAAATGCTTTTAGACAATTAGCAATGCAACCTGGCAATAGAGAGGGAGCTACATTCAGAAAATGTCATTTTAATACATTCCACGCATACTATACGCTTCAAATATTAATTATGTAGATGTAAATACTCCCGTGGCTGCTCTTCTACTGGGAGAGCAGACATATAGATGTTTAAATCATTTATACAATATGGACTAGGAACAGAGATAAGTACCCTAATTACAATCAATATCTGACTCTTTTTACATCTTTTGGAGATTTAAGGTATCTTTTTTTCTGCAATCTAGTCAAAGTTCACACCAAGTTTTTTCCCTCAACCCTATACCTAATAACTCAACCCCTACCTAATAACTAAAAAGGGTTTATTACATCAGTATCAGGAAAATGTAAAAGGTAGCTCAGGGTAAAATAATAACTTGGCTGCTTATGATTTTAACCTTGGTCACTTTTAAAGAAAGTAAAGAAACTAAACTACCCTCCAAGTAATCAAATTACCAACCTCCAAGTTTTTCTCTAATTCAGAAGAAGCCATTCTTTCATGTCATTCATAAGAAGTGGTAAATATGATAGAAGCTGTGCTGCTTTTCTTAAAAGATGCCAGTAAATTAAAGTACAATGAGGTGTTACAACCTTCTAGCAAAAGTTAACTTTTCTGTTAAACGTCCACAGTTTTTGTACTACAACTATGACAGTACAAAGTTTCACTCTCACAGTGGCGTGGTATATAAATGAAAACACTTTATTGTGAAAATCTATAGATCTGAGCAACTCATTCCTTAATTAACTTGAAGTAAGCGCAGTGATATGTTTTGACTGAAATTATAGACAGACTCTCAGCATAGGTTGTCTGTCTGTCCAAAACGTTTCCCAAAGCTTGCAGAATTCTGAGAGCTTATGTTGGGTGCACTGAAATACAGAGCTTTGTATCTGTTTGTAGTTTTGCATCTATTCTTAATTCTGAAATCCTCATTTAACATTGTCAGCCAAAAGAAATCAGTCTGCATTTTTTTTTGTGAACTCAAACTTACTACTTTCTAACTCTTCTCATATTTTCTGCTTTTATGTTATCACTCCGTATGCTGCACAAAAAATAGTCTTGATTACAAAGTCATGAACAATTACAAACATGCACTTTAAAGATAACAAGAAATTTGATTTAGAAATGTAGCTGAGCACTAATCCAGGCCTATAAGTGTCAATTTAAAGAGACATTATTCTTACTGCAAAGAGAATTTCTAACACCATCTAGAATTATTCATTCAAGAGGTTTCAAATTAAATACAGTCATTCTAATAAAAAATTCCAGGTGTGTCATTAGATTCTTTCAGATTGTTTTTCTTTATTTCTGAGCATCTCTGAAACCATCTAAATCATCTATAGGATTGATGGCCATAAGAACTACTAGCTTACTTGGATTTGAAAGACAGTCTGAAGTTCAGGAAACTAGTTTGGGACAAAAGCTGTCTTCAGCTAGGTATTTTATTACAAATGCCCTGGTTTGATGTTGGGCAAGCCTGATTCTCCCCTCATAAATTGTGTGCCCGGTATCACAAATGGAAGTACCTATGGGATTTTATCAGCAAACATGTAGGGCCCTAAACTTGTAGGTTCATATGACAGCAAGTGGCTAACAAGCTACGGGACCGTGAATATCAGTAGTGCTGAAACGTTGGCTGCAAGCACCTTACAGAAACACTTGGGCTTGTAGTTCCTAATTGTGAACCTAGCCCCTAGCTGCAAAGCAACGTATGTTGTTGATGACTGGTTAGGAAGTGAATAATTTAAACATTAATTTTGTGTAAAACAAGACTGATTCATCTCTTTCAAACGGGAGATAAAACTCACCTCATGACCATTTGCTATCGCTGAAGTTCCTGTGGTGATTTTATAAAACTATAGGGACAATCCAATGGGATTAACGTTCTGAGTTTTAACTTTAGACCACCGTACTTGCTGTACAATATCAGTAACTGATTATGCTGCTATTTTTCTTTATTAGTTGTGAAATTTGGATAGATGATAAAAACTCTTAGGGGCTCATAGTAAAACTTAGCTTTTGCTATTTGACTTCCTCGGGAATGGCTAGTTTCTATGCAGTATGTTATTTCCCTATGCTAGGGAGCATCATCAGGTTTAGATTCCCCAAACATCTTTGGACCTCCTGGAAAATCATTGGAGCCATCATGACCGTGGCCTGTTTGGAATAGCAGGGGATAAGCACCAAGATAGCTCAGGTCTTCTCCACTTTGTCCCATCAGGATAGCTAATGAAGTGTACAGACTAGCTTCATGGGGCCCTCAAGCAGCACTCTACCTAAACCGCTGGGTACAGCTCTTCATCAGGTATCAGGATCTGTCCCCTGGTGCAGGTTCTTCAACTCCTCTCATTTTGTTCTGAGATAGTTTCAGGTAACGGTAAGTATCGGTTATGTCATGGGGGTGTGTTGGATCACGATACACAGATAAGGGCGCAGGATAAGTGTTTAAAAGCCCTTAAGAGAAGATGCTGACAGGGCTTGTGAGGTGGCTGTTGTGCGTGAGGGCATCCTATATCTAGTCCCCCTGCTAAGGGACCCTAAGATCTGGCTTTTCAGTCTGGATTGCCTTTAATGGAATGAACCTCTAAAGCACACTAGATATAGTCCTGGGTAACCAGCATTTGAAAATCAGGTTATTTACTGGCTGCGTAATAGTAAACTTCATACTTAAAGCACTCAGTCTGAAAAAAGGAAATTGTTCTAAGTCCTGTTGCTCACACCAGACTCCCTGATTTACAATACCAGTGACCTCTGTTTTAAAGCTTTGTAGCACTGAGGTGTCAAGATCACTCCTGAAGAACCTTTTCTTAAACATTTGGTTCCACATTAGAAGCACAAACAAACACTTTTCTTTTTAGAGGTTTACATGAAGATTCAACATATTTCATGTGTATTTTGAGTTTTACATGCTGAACTTAAATGAATAAATATTAACATATATTGCTGTCTGACACATTAAAATGGCACTTACCCACTATTTATTTGTGGGCACTACCATTTCCTAAGCAGCACTTCCAGATCTTGACAAGGATAATGGAACTTCAAAGCTGGAAAGAGATGACAATGTACAAGAATGATGTGTAAGAATGATGTAAGGAGCTGTGTGATCAGACAACGATGGTGGTATAGCATATGCCATAGCAGTAGTTCAGAATAATGAATCAACCTTTCAGAAACAATATTGCATTGAAATGACATTATATTAAAAAGATATATATATATATATATGTATGTTTTCAGGAGAAAACTTTTCTTTGCATCAAAGTGGTAGTCAGGAAGTACAGATATGTACCAGCTTTGGTAAAAGTTCTAAATGGATCTTAGGTCAGGTTTTAATAAGTAGCATAAAATTGTTAGGTGACATCTTCATTTAGTATATATCTGTGTAGCACCACGCCAGTAGAGTTAAGCAGATATATACTACCTGCTTAATTTGGCCCAGATGATTTGCAAAATATCTCATTACCTAGCCAACAACAATTTTCAGGAAGGCCAGATTTGTAAAGTGAATATCTTTGTATTCAGAACTTGTGATCAATTGTTGCCATGCAAAGCTCTAAGTCATTAACCATTTCTACTCGCGGCTCTCGGTGCACTAGTTGAGTGTGGGTGACTGTGTGCGGTGAAGTGTTGACCTTTGCTGAGGTGATTGGAACGGGACTGGTTTTAAGCCTCGTCTTCATAACTGATTGTAAAGAATACGCTCTATTTCCCCTGAATCCCACAACTCATGCTAGGAAAAAGGCATGTTGAGAGGAATGTTACGTTATCCCGTTAAAAAAACTCTGCCACTCTCAAGAGGTGTATGGTTGCCTGTCATATCGCTTAGAGCTTCACTCGTTTCTGTCTTTAAGCCTTGCCTGGTAACAAAGTTAGTTACTGTATATCAAGGTAAGAGTTAAATATTCAACAGTAATGCTTGGAAAAAGTGACCAATACCATCCACCTTTGCCAAATAAACTGCAACCCAACATGAAGCGAGGAAAATGCAGGTCCAACCAAGATTTAATAAAGAGGTTGCCTTGTCTTTCAGATGACTTGTATGATGGACAGAGTAGCCTCTTTGCACCACCCTATTATTTGCATGTCCTCAGCTGTTTCTTGTTTCCTCCCTCTTTCTCTTGTCTGCAGCATGTCTCTGTCTCTGCCGCCTTCCTCCCTGAGCTCAGACCTCCGTAACTCCAAGCTCGACTGACCTTTGTAGGGCTTGCTTCCTTGGACTGACCTTCATAGGCCTTGCTTCCTTGGTTTGTCTGACTGCATCCTCTGGCAATATGGGACTTCAGATACCTTCTCTCCTCTCACCAACTCTTCTTAGTTTAGGTACTTGCTGTATCTCTCAATTGTACCTTAAACTCTCTCTCAATTTTCAACAATAAATGAGCTTTTCCCATTCTCAGTCTGAGACAAAATAATCTAACTTCAGAAATCATAAAACACAATAAATGCACAAATGGTTTCCTAGACTTGCAAGATGCAGACTCCTCTGAACCTCGGTATCTATACCTACATGTACCTATATAGAGAGATATATAGAT